ACACACACACACACACACACACACACACACACACACACCACACACACATCTCTCTCTCCTCTCTCTCTCTCTCTCTCTCTCTCTCTCTCTCTCTCTCTCTCTCTCTCTCTCTCTCTCTCTCTCTCTCTCTCCTCTCTCCCTCTCCCTCTTCCTCCCCTCTCCCCTCTCCCTCTCCCTCTCCTCTCCCTCTCCTCCCCCCGCCCTCCCCTCCCTCCCTCCTCCCTCCTCCCTCCCTCTCCCTCTCCCTCTCCCTCTCCCTTCTCCCTCTCCCTCTCTCTCTCTCGTCTCTCTCTCTCTCTCACACACACATATTTTTGAAAATGGAATGAAGTCGCGTGACGGGTCAAGATGATGGATCAATTCTAGATAAATTAAGGGTAAAAACTGAAGATAACAGGTCGAGGGAATTTATGAGATGAAAACCAGGAAGGAACAAAGGCACAATGGAAATGATAGTGCTTAATATTATAATAATAATGATAATAATAATAGTAGAGTTGTAGTAGTAGTAATAATGTAGTAATAATGGTAATGATACTAATGGTAATTATAATAATAGTAGTAATAGTAATAATGACAGTAATAATGGTAATGATACTAATGATGATAATAATAGTAGTAGTAATAATGATATGATAATAATAATAATAGTAGTAGTTGTAATAGTAGTTAATAATGATAGTGATAATAATGATAAAGCTGATAATGATAATAAGAGCAACAGCAATGAAACTAATAAAAATAATGATAACGATGGTAATAATGATAATGATAATAATAATAATAGTAGTAGTTGTAATAGTAGTAATAATGATAGTAATAATGGTAAAGATACTAATGATAATAATAATGATAGTGATAATAATGATAAAGATGATAATGATAATAATAGCAACAACAATGATACTAATAAAAACAATGATAACAATAATGATAACAATGATGATAACAATGACAAGAACTAATAATGACAATGATAGCAGCAATGACAAGAACTACATTTAATAATGATAATGATAGCAGCAAGAACAACGATATTGACAATAATAATAACAATGATAATAAGATGACATAAAGAAATGAAGGCAAGGGATTTGTGAGTGAAGTGATATTGACAGGCCAGCGTCAGCATAAACCGGGAATTCTACTTTGAAATTAGAATTGCAGTGATATAGGAAGAGGGAAGAGAGAAATAAGAAGGATAAACCTAGACTGATAAAGTTCGGTAGTCAGAAATATATTGAGAGAGAGAAGGGAAGGAAGAGAGAGAGAGAGAGAGAGAGAGAGAGAGAGAGAGAGAGAGAGAGAAATTGTATATATTTCTATATCTATCTGTCTGCCTGTCTATTATATATTTATATATACATATATTATGTATAATATATGCATGTATATATATAATATATATAATTGCATATATAATTACTCGTACATATTATATACAGATTAGAGACAGAGCGATATATATATATAATATAATATATATAATATATATATATATATTATATAATATTATATATATGTGTGTGTGTGTGGTGTGTGTGTGTCTGTGTGTGTGTGTGTGTTGTGTTGTGTTGTGTGTGTGTGTGTGTGTATGTATTGTGTGTGTGTGTGTATAAACTTATAGGTACATATAATAATTTATATATTATATATGTATATAATATATATATATATATATATATATATATATATATATATATATATATATATATATATATATAGTGTGTGATGTGTGTATATGAATATATACATAAATACATATAGGTATATAAATACATACGCACATACATATATACACACAGACACACATACACATAAACGTACACACAACATACATGTATAACACACACACACACACACACAGAGAGAGAGAGAGAGAGAGAGAGGCAGGCAGGGAGGGAGGAGGGAGAGAGAATGGAAATAATGGGATGAGTGATTATTGTCAGTGAGAAGTAGAGAAAAAATGTAGAAGGGGAAAAAATAAAATGGAAGGAGAGAAAAGCCAGAATATACAAAGGGAGAGATAGGCAGGGAGAGGGAGAGGGACAGGGAGGCAGAGGGAGGAGGGAGGGAGAGGGGACAGGGAGCGGAGAGAGGAGAGGGAGAGGACAGGGAGGCAGGGAGAGAGGGACAGGGAGGGAGGAGAGGGAGGGAGAGGACAGGGAGAGGGAGAGGGAGAGGGGGACAGGAGGGAGAGGGAGAGAGGAGGGGACAGGGAGAGGAGAGGGAAGGGACAGGGGAGGGGTAAAAGGGAGAGGGGAAGGCGAAGACGAGAGGGCCAGGGAGAGTGAGGGAGAGGGGACGAGCCCAGGGGGGGGAGGTAAAGACGAGAGGGCAGCAAGGGGAGAGAGGGAGGGGGCGAACCAGGGGGGCCTTAGCGAGAGGGGAGCTTGGAAAGGGGGGGTGAGGGGGGAGGAGACGAATTAGGGGACGGAGCAGGACAGCGGTAAAAGGGGGAGGGGAAGAGGCCCGACCCAGACGTATACACGAGGGGAAGGGGAGAGGAGGAAGGGAACGGACCAAGGGAGAGACAGAGGGAAGGAGAGAACCAGGGGAAGACGACGGAAGGGTGGAAGGGAAGGAGGGGGAGACCAGGGGATATAAGGGGAAGGGAGGAGGGAAAGAGGGGGAGAGAGGGGAATGGGGAAGGAGTGAGGGGAAGGGGGAGAGAGGAGAGGGAAGAGAGGGGAAGGGAAGGGTGAGGGGAAGGGGAAGAAGGGGAGGGAAACCAGCCTTGCAGATCGCCTGGGGGTTCACGTGGTGCGACATCCGGCTGGCTACACCCAGCGTCCGCCACACTGAGCGGGTAATGTGAGGTGGCCTGAGGGGGGCGCTGCAGAATCGCTGGCTCTGATTATATTTTTATGGCTCTGACGTTCCTTTGGTATTGTTTTTTAAGCTTTTACCACCAGGGACTATCTGATTCACCCGAGAAATTATACGTTGGGGGGGAAGAGAGGCTTTCAACACCATCTTTTTTTTTTTTTTTTTTTTTGTCCCCCCCCCAGTGGGTCTCCCTTCAGATCTCCCGGGTTTTTTGGGTGTAGATGCAGTTGGTTTGTGTGTATGTGTGTGTCTGTTTGCCCGTGTCGGTATACAGCTGTATTTGGAGGTTATGATTTTCTTTTAACCGCGTCGATATACACATCAAATATATTGCTGTGGAAAAACGCATTATTTTTCTCGTAATGGATATAAGATGAATGTAATACTATGGATATTTTATTAGATAAGCACAAGCACAGTTACGTGTACACAAAAATTAAAAAAGGAAAACAGCCATAATAACTTACGAAAATGAACCTCACGTTTCGAATTCTACACAATCTCCTCATCAGACAAGTGTTTTCCTTTTCATTTGTTATTAGATATTGTATGCATCATCTTCATCTTAAATTCCATCTTCTGTTTGTTTTAACACGATTATTCTTAGATATACTGACGTTGTTGGCACTGTGTATCTTATCTTTTTCTTTTCTCTCTCTCTTTCCTCGTTTTAAGATTTTCAACCAATTCGCCTTCAAATATATTATCTTCTGTCGATGGGACATGCTTATCTCAACTTAATTTAATGGATATATTCCCGAGAAACGAAACTGACAGGCTTTTCATTCCATCTCTATTTCGAGTTTCCGTCAAATATCAAAATGGTTTCGAAGTAGATACAACTCCCTGTTATATCTATCGTCCATTATTCGCTTCCTATGCTTTCGCTCTACTCGTGAGCCAGACGGAAAGCAGAGAACAGGGGGAATTAACGAACCAATAGCGATTGCTAACAGCGCTTGCAGACATTTTCTCGTTGACGCAACAGCACACGCAAACGCACGCACGCACACACCTCGCGCACACAAACTTTCATCGGCAAAAAATTCGGTCTGTTGTAGTGTTAACGAAGGTTTGTGTGCGTGGTCTAGTAGTTATACACTATAAGCTGTATTATAGATATATGTATTATAGATTTCACTCTTCTTATTTGGAAAGTAATTATGCATTTTCTGTGTTCATGTACAAGAGAAAATTGAAAACGATTTTGTTATATTCGTTTCGTTAGATAAAAAACTAATTTATATCCCAAGAGAAATATAAAATGTCGAGCCTATTACTTCATAACATTTCTCTGATACATAAGATAGACAAGTAAGTAGAACGAGATAAGTAAGTAGATAAGTAAGTCACTACTAACCCCCTCCACCTCTACTCCCCCCTCCCCCTCCACGCCCACCAGAACACGACCAAACGCCTCATTTACGCCTACGGTGCCTCGGACCCTGCCAACGCCACCGCCCTCGACTACGTGGGCGCCGAGGCAGTCAGAGGCTCTCGCTACCTGCTCCTCCTGCAGCCGCCCACGCCCTTCCCGCCCAGCCCCGAGGACGCCCGCACTTGGAGTCTCAGCCAGAGTCTCAGCCTCGCCAAGGATCAGCGAGAAGTCCACTGGTGCAACATCGTCCGGTTCCCACACCTGGAGTCCCAAGTGCACTACGTTGGGGTGAGTTTGGGTCGGGTTTAGCTTTTATTTTATTGTTTTTATTTCTATTATTATCTTTATTTATTTATTTTTTTTTTTTATCTTTATTTTATTTTTTATTTTTTTTTTTTTTTTTTTTTTTTTGGGGGGGGTTTGTTTTTTAAGTGGATGTAAGGGGTGTTTTTTTCTTCTTTAGCTTTAGAGGGTGTTATTGGAGGAAATGTAGATTATACAACAATGGTAGGATGATAAATAAGAATAAGTACCATGTCTCGTTCTCACCGGCACGTCCCGTCGCCGAAAACATGTCTCGAACGTGTAATTACGAATAGAAAAAACACGCTTAACTCTGCGTCCCGATGTCCACAGTTCGACATCAAGCACGGAGAGAACTCCCGGAAGCACCTCCATCACCTGACCATCTGGGAGTGCACAGGAGACCCCAACTCCGCCGCCTACAGACCAAAAGCACTAGCGTCTCATGCACTACGCTTCACAACAGGGCCACGAGTGTTATAGTTCGAGCATGCCCCTAGACTACAACAGCTGCAATAGCCCTGTTATCGTATGGTCCACCGGAGGAGAGGTGAGTGCTCCAAGAACTTCATTTAGACGACCATCACATCCGTTCTATAAGTTTTTATTTGATTTTTTTATCAGCCTGCAAGATTTCCAGAGTTCTATGACCCTCAATTCAGTGACATTTGATGTAACTCGATCGCCTACAAGTCAGTTTTCTAGATGCTTTTTTTACTGCTATTTGTAGACTTTGGAATAGATTGCCTTCAGAGATTGTAACTTCTCCGACTCTTGATAAGTTTAAAAGATCAGCTAACACGTTTTTCTTACGTAAATAGCTGACTTTCTATCCTTTCATTCTTTCTTAGCTGTATCTTGACCTGCACTGACACCTTTGGTGGTATAAATCTCTGTATTTTTTACAGTGTGGCTCTTTATGTAGCTTACAACAACAATAATAGTAATAATAATCAATCACTGACGTCAACTACAAGCAGTGAGAATAATCTGAAAAAGCAAGGACACTGCATGATCTTTCAAAGTCAACCACAAGCAGTGATGATGATAATCTGACACTGCATGGTATTCCAAAGCATAATGCATGACCGTATGACCTCTCTTTCCGCAGGGAGAAAGGGAGCCAGCCCACGTCGGACGCCCCCTGGTCCCCGAAGTGGGTGAATATGCCTTCTTCCTGGTGGAGGCACACTATGACAACGCCCCCAAGGCAGACAGCATGAGCGTGGAGTGGGGCATCGACGTCTACTACACGGATCAATTACGGTGAGTTATTTGAAGTCTGTTTGATCAGATATAGCATTTCTTGTAAACGCTGATAGAGGGAAGGAAGGGGAGGAGGAAAGAAGAGAGGGAGAGAAGAAGAAAGAAGGGGGAGAATAGAGGAAAGTAGAGTGAGAGGGACGAAAGGGGGCGGGAAGAAGAGGAGGGGAGAAAAAAACGAGAGAAAGGGGACGAGAAGAAAAGGTTAGGGAAGAGACAGGGATGGAAAAGAGGAAGAGAAGCGGATATAAGTAGAGAGAGAGAGAGGGAGGGAGGAGAGAAGGAGGAGAGAGGAGAGAGGGAGGGAGAGAGGGAGGGAGAGAGGATGAGGGAGAGAGGGGAGAGAGGGAGGGAGAGAGGGAGGGGAGAGTGAAGACGGAGGAAAGGAGAAGGAGGGAGGGAGGGAGGGAGGAGGGACAGAGGCGAGGGAGAGGGAGGATGAAGAGTGGAGAGAGGAAGTAAGGAGAGAAAGAGAGGAGAGAGGGAGGAGGAGGGAGAGATGGAGGAGAGAGGATGGGAGAGAGAGAGAAGAGAAGAGAGAGAAGAGGGGAGGGAGGACGGACGAGAGGAAGAGAGGGAGAGAGAGGAGAGAGAGGGAGGACGAGAGGGAGGAGGGAGAGAGAGGGAGAAGAGAGGGAGAGACGAGAGAGGAGAGAGAGAGAGACGAGAGATGAGAGAGAGAGAAGAGAGAGAGAGCGAGAGAGAGAGAGAGAGAGAAGAGATCGAGAGAGGGAGAGAGTAGAGAAGAGAGAGAAGAGAGAGAGAGAGAGAGAAGAGGGGAGAGAGGTGAGAGGAGAAGACGAAGAGAGAAAAAAGAGGGGGGAGGGAGGAGAGAGAACGTGAGGATGGAGAGAAGTGAGGGAGAGGGAGCGAGAGACGGATGGAGAGAGGAGAGCGAGGGTCTGAGGGTGGAGGTGTGGAGGGTGAAGGGTGAGGAGGGTGGACGGGAGGTGAAGAGGGTGAGGAGGGGTGAGAGGGAAGAGAGGAGAGAGGACCAGGGAGAGAGAGAGAGTGACGATGAGAGACGAGGTAGAGGTGAAGAGAGATGAGATTGAGAGAGGGAGAGAGAGGAGAGAGAGAGAGAGAGAGAGAGAGAGAGAGAGAGAGAGAGAGAGAGAGAGAGAGGGAGGGAGAGGAGATGAGGGAGAGAGGGTAGAGGAGAGAGGGAGAGAGCGAAGAGAGAGAGAGAGAGCAAGAGCAAGAGCTAAAAGACGAGGAGAACGAGGAGAGAAAGGAGAGAGATACAAACCGACAGACAGACAGTAATACGTACCGAGACAAGTCAACACAACGCGACAGAGAGACAGAAAACACACGAAAACAGATAGGCAGACAAAGACACACACACCACACTCACAGAGGAGAGAGAGAGAGAGAGAGAGAGAGAGAGAGAGAGAGAGAGGAGAGAGAGACGAGAGAAGAGAGAGAAGAGAGAAGAGATGACGAGAGAGAGAGAGAGAGAGCAGAGAGAGAGAGAGAGAGAGAGAGAGAGAGAGAGAGAGAGAGAGAGAGAGAGAGAGAGAGAGAGTTCGCGAGTTCGCAACAAAGAGATATAACGTTTTAACACTTTCAGAGAGTTCGAATCGGCCTCGATGTTCGTAGGCAACACTGTAAACTTCGCGCTGGTGGTCCCTCCGGCCAGAGACCACTGGACCACAACCGGCCACTGTCCCGCCGGATGTCTGTTGGACGGAATACCTGAGACCGGCATCAAGGTGTACCAGGTC